GTTTAAGGGCGGGAAAAAGTGGCCTGCTTCGCCCAGCCAGGTGTTTCGGCCATTCTGCGCAAAGCTGCGCATCACGTGAGCACCCAGGTGGGTGCGTCCTGGGACTGCCCGTGCGTGGGTGCCCACACAAGGTGCGTCCTGGCTCCAGTCCTCTGCCCTCAGGGTATGGCGCGGCGCGTGACCTCTGACACGAATCTCGGCCAGGAATTCATTCATAAATGCTTCACCGCTTCTCCAAGGCGCTGGCACTCTGACGTGGAGAGTCTAAACGTTTTGGCCCTCCGCGAAGAAAATTTGGTTTTGGAAGAAGACGATCCCTGCGCGAGATCGGGTGCTTGGAAGGAGGTTCCGCAGCCCCGCATGCGCCGTGCCCGCGCCCACTCCGCGCCCAGGCGCACTCCCTGGTCTCCATCCCGCCTCTGATGGAGGCCGCCCCGAAAGCCGATTGGGATGCAAGAACCAGTGGCTGGAGCCCGGCTCGCCCAGGGATGGCGGGAAGGGGTAAGGGAGACCTCTCCCTGGGGCCTTGGAGCCGCGCCTCGCGGTGTTTATCTGCCCGAGGGAGCGCGCCTGCAGGCGGAGGCGCAGAAGGCTTCGCAGGCCTTTTATAGTTAAATCCCGTCGGCTCAGGCTGGGGAGGGGGAAAGGAGGCCCCGGCCGCTCTCCTTCCTCGGCGGCGGAATGGGAAGAGGACTTGAGTTCTTTGGTATAAACAGAACGCGCCTCCTAGTTCACTGGGGCCGAGCGGGGGAGCAGACATTGTTTAATTTCAAATAATAATAAATGTCACTGTTGGCAGTTTATTGCGGGGGGCTTGGGCTGGAGAGGCGGTGGGCGTCTGGAGAGGCGGCTCCGTCCGCCCCTTTCACACACTCGGTGGCTCGGGCCTACCGGCTCCTCGGCTTCACACGCCTGCTCCGCGCAGGCCCGGGGATTTCTGCCTCTTAGGGACGCGGAGGGCCAGTCCAGCGTTGCTAAGGCCGTGGGGGGTGGTCCCCGCGCCCGGGCGCACGCCAGCGCGCACCCCGACGCTGGGACACCGAGCAGCACGACCCTCCTACCCCCTCCCCCAGAAGTCTCGCATTTCTAGCTAAAACTCTGCGAGCTTTTAAGAGGAACTCTGGGGGTGAGTGTCTTGACGAAACTGCCGTGTTTATCGGTGTCTGTATATAGAGCCCGGCCGAGCCCCGGTTCAGTTTCAAAGGCTTCGCCTCTTTTCTATAAACAATGAAAGAGGTAGCGAACACACTCAACGATTCCGAGGTTTGGCGATCGGGTGCGACCCTGGAACCGCTCCAAGGTCAGGGAGAATGGGAAGGAGGGTCTGGGCGAGGAATCAAGTCTGAGATCCCATGAAACCCAAAGCTCCCCTCTCATCTTTGTGCGTCTCAGCACCTCTCCGTTCTCCCGTGGGCTCTCCCATCTCATCTCTCGTTCTCTCATTACTGATCCATTTAGAGAGCATGGCCTCCCAAGCTTCTTATATAGGATGTAGAAGAAATGCCCAGTTTCAAGAATCAAATCTTTTAGGTACTTTATTTCCCTAACACTGATGGCAATCCCTGGAGGAATTGCCTCTTTAACCACAATAGTTAAACAAAATATATTCATGTCCCAGCTCTCTCTCTCTCCTGTTTCTATTCTCTCCTTTTTCTGATCTCCCACACCTTCCTTCATCTCTACCACAAGTTCCCTGTGCCTCCTCCACAGAGGAGACCCATCTCACCTGCCAGCCTTGGTTATGATCATTTCTGTGCCCACTTCGTGGAATTTCAGCCACAGTTCTCTTTCATGGAGAAACACCTTGATCCCTTCCATGCCCTATAGGAGGAGAGAAAAGTCACACAGAGAAGGCCTGGAGACAATGAGCCTTCGCTCCCCACACTCCCTGAAAACAGAGTTTTCTTCTCCTTTCCCCTCAAGCCAGTGGGCTCATAGGCTGAACCACTGCCCCCAACCCCTATCACAGTCTGGGCTCTGGAGCAGCCCCTGCCCAGGAATTTGTATTTGCGTGTGTGTGTGTGTGTGTGTGTGTGTGTGTGTGTGCGCGCGCGCTCTTTCTGGGAAGGTCTTAACCCCATGGTGCAGATCCGTCTCCTTCTAATGCCACCAACATAAGGCTAGAGGAAAACCCCCCAACCATCACGGTATTCCAGAATGTGCATGGGGAGGAAGGGGCTAAGGAAAAAAACAAAAAAAAGGACCAATCACACTTTAGCCAAGAGGCAGCTAAAAGAGAAAAGAGAGAGACCAAAAAAAAAAAAAAAAAAAAAGCCTCAATCTCGAAAAACTCAGGATATTCCAATGTAGGCATCCAGATGTCCACACAAAAACACACAGATGTGTGAACACTATATGTGCGTGTTTAATCTCCCCATGGCGGTGCATATATAGATATAGGTGAAATTTAAAATTTTTAAATGTTTATATAATAGGTTGCCACAGTCCCAAACAAAATTTAATTATCAAATCTCAAATATCTCTATGAATATGCCTCGTAGGCCCTCCTTCCATCCAGCTTCATTCACTTCAAGCTGTTTCGATTATGGGCACAGCGATCTAACATTCCTGATATCAACTACAAGTTTTACAAAACTGATGCATATATATATATATATATATATATATATATATGTCTTCATTTTGCAATAACTTGGAAACGTCTAATAGGTAGATTTGTTTTCTCCTGGAAGAAAACCTCTTAAGTTTCTGAAAATGCGTGCCTACTGCTGCGCTACAAATATAGGGGCATATTCCTGAGATGGGAAGGGCAGAGGGAGAGGCGATGGAAAAGCCAGGAAGGCCATCGAAATCCCAAAGAAGGGTTTCAGCTACATGCAAGTATCTCTACAGGTCAAGACAACCACTTCCAGCCCTCTGACACCCTGTTTAAAAATTATCAGGGTCTACAGAGGACGCCTTGAGCGCCCAGGGCGCCCGGGTGAAGGGCGCAGAGGCTTCACGATCGGCTGCCACCCAGCTTTCAGCCAGGCGAGCCCGCGTCTCCCCGCGTCCTGCCGGCCCAGCCCTGCGCGCTCCCCGCCGCCGGCCCGGGCCGCGCCAGTTCTCCAAGCCCCGGACGCCAGACAAACGATGCGGCGCGCGGGGCTGGGGCGGTGACGCGGAGAAGGCGGGCGGAGGCGAAGGCTACGGCAGATCTGAAGAGGGGTCAAGCCATCGGTCATGCCGGCCTGAAGCGGCCGCTGACCTGGCCCTTAATGAGGCGTTCAGACCGAGTTTACACCTCATGCAGCAGGAAAGGAAGGATCTGGACCCTTGTTCGCTGGCCCCAAAGAGCCGGATCTTTATGACTCCCCTAACCATTTCCACGAATTCAAAAATCCTATGGCCATAAAGATAATCGTCACAATACAGCGGGTAGAAATACACTGGCATTTGGGGAGGCATGGCAGAGAAGGGTGGAATTGAATGGGGATAAAAAGAAAAAGGGTAATTATGGGCACCCCCCCCACTTCCTCCTCCGCCTCAACCCCTGAATAGAGGGGCTTTGGCTTCTGCAAAGGGTCCCGAGGCCCTCCTTACCTGCTGGGTGAAAGCCGCCTGCGGGGACGACGGGGACTTGCTGGGGGCCCCTAGCGCACTCTCGGGTTTGGAGTCACAGGGTAGATCCTTGGCGTCTGGTTCCAGGGGTGTGTGAGCCAGGCCAAAGCCCTCGTCTGCGTCGGCCATGGTGATCCCGGGGCCCTGCGACCTCTCGGGGTCCTGCTCTGAGGACGGGAAGGCCAGCGACAGGCAGATGAGAGGGGGGCGCAGAGAGAGAAACAGAGAAGGTTGGAAGCACAATTCTGGTGACAGGAAGGGCCAGTTACTAGGCTGCTACTCGAGGTTTCCAGCTCCCAGCACCTCCTTCCCCCGCTGAAGGAGGCTGCAGAAGGTCCCGTTATTCTTAGCATTACTATTACTTTATGACCACGCACAACCTCTTGCGAAAGCCCCCGCGTCACAGCGGGAGGAGGCGAGGCCCGCATCTCCGCTGCGCAGGCTCCCCCACGATAAGCGAGCTGCCCGTCAAATTTGTCTGGACTCCTGGAAGAGCCAATAAAGATAAGGCCTGGGTATTTTTGGAAGCCATTGGGTACGAACCCAAAACAAAACAAAACACAAACCTACTGCCCTTCTGAGAATTTTTTCTCTTCGTCAAATTACAGGAGGCCAGCAGAGACCTATTGATGAAAACTGGCAACAGGAATATTCCCTGCAGGAGCCGAAATGCCTGAAATAACCCGCCTCTGGCAAAAAAAATCCAAAACACAGGAGGGGAAAGATCCGCAGATGGAGAGGCCAGGTCCTGAACATTCACGTTCATCTTTTATCAGTTCCGGGCCTTAAACTTACAAGTCCTTTAACATTAAGAGTCCTCCCTTTTCCCCCATTCGTAAGCAACGTGAAAAATAAAAAAGGAGTCAAACAGAAAGGTCGAGAAAGCGGTCGCGCTGCAGTTCGAAGGAGGCGCGAGGCCGGGTGCCCGAAGCCAGCGCTGGGCCGCCGGCCTCCGGAGCGCGTTCCCCTCGTTTTTCTCGGCTCTCCAGCCCCAGCCGGGAGTTTTGTCGAGCAGCCTGGCTGAGGGGAGTTTCTCCGAGCTTCAGCCGGGCCTGGTTCGCTGGAACTGCAGGCCTAAGCTTGGGGCTGGCGACGCCAAAGCGGCTCCCGAATAAGTCCTGAGCTTCCGGCGTTGAACCCGCCACTGAGATCCGACGCGAGGCGCCGGATGGCCCAGGTTTTACAGGCATGTGAGGTCGGAACACGCAAAATAACAGCTGCAGAACGGTTCAAGCCCGAAGGAGCCTGCCCCATGCTCTGATCGTCTTCCAATCTCTTCTACGTTCCCAAGTAGGGATTTCCTCCCTCAAAACCCGGGAACGCTGGGAAGGAGGCTCAAGAAATGCCTCCCCCAATTTTAGCAGCCGCTCCAGCGAAAGGCTGGATCCCACCCCCCCCCGCCCCCCCGCCCCCGATTTGCCGTGGCCGGAGACCCAGAAATGGTGCGGAGGAGATCGGTTTCTAAGCAAGATTCCCAAGCCGCCTCCTTCACCACGCCCTTGGGGTTCGGGGGAGGCAGTGATGGGAGCCCCGAAGCCGGCTCACAACAAAAGAAAGCAGTGCTGGCGTCCCCACGTGCGCGCCCCTGCAACCGCCGGCCGCGGGGACAATTCCACCCCGAGCCCTGGCCGAGGTCCCGGAGAGCTGGGGGGCTGGCGGGCCCGAACGAGATGCGGTTTGACAGAAGCAGGCCGCGCGTCCTGCAAGCCTCCACGCCTCTCCCCCAGCCCTGGCTCCCTCCTCGGCTCCACGCGCCGGGCAGCTCCGGGCCGCGGAAAATCGCTGCGAGCCAGGCCCTGCAGAATCACGGGGCCAGGCTCGAGAGCCGCCTTGTGCGCCTCCCCGAGCCGCCTCGGCCGGCGGGCTCCCTCCCCGGCCTCCCGGGCCATCGGCGTAACGGTTACCTCTCTCGGTGAAGCCGGTGCATTCACCGCATTCCTTCTGACTCCTAGCAGGGAAGCCGGGGGCGAGGCGGGGGCGCGGGCATGGTGGCTCCGGGGTCTACGGGGGAGACTGCTTCCCCGGACCGGCGGCAACCGCTGCCTACAAAGGGAGCACCCACCGCGGGAGCCTCGCCGCAGCGACTGCCCACAATCCAACACACACCTCCTGCGCCGTGCGCTCGCTCTCCCTACAGGCTTCCAAGTTGTCGGGCGCCAGCAGGGCTCTCAAGAACGCCAGAACAGCAGCCTCCCGGAGCACCCCCAATAGTATAACCTCGATGCCCGTTTCTCCCTTGCACCCCCAGGGAGGGAAAGCTGGGAGACAAGAGGGAGCCTGGGAATGGCTGAAGTCCTTGCTGAGCTCGGCTTTCAGGGTTAAAGTTCCGGAATCCGGGGTAAGAGTGTCTCTCTCTCTCCCCCTCTCCCTCTCTCTCCCTCTCAGAAATACAAGCCGACTCAGCGGAGCTCAGTGACGTTGGGCTGCCTCGATGCTTACAGAGTACTGAAATTGCCTATCCAACAAGCTTCTAGTGCACGCCGCCTGCCTCTGTCTCTCTCTCCCTCCCTCCCTCTCTTCCTCCCCCCTCCCTCTCCCATCCCACTCCCTCCCCCAACCACCTTTTCCATTAGATTTCCCGAACACTCAAATCACAACACGAGTCTCAAACCCAGACCTCGAGAGCACCCCCCTCCTCTCCACCCCCTTCCCAACCTCCATCCATCTCGGCTTCTCTGAGCGCGGCTCGGTGGCTGCGAAAAATCCTGCACAAATCATCGCAAACCCGCTCGCCTTCTGCCCGGAGAAATAATCTCGGTGTCGCGGGCGGTGCGGAGAACAGGAGCCTGAACGCACCAGGCGTGCACACACCCGCCGAGAGCCTCCTCTGCAGCCTGGCCCACGTTCTCTCTCTGCCGCTGACCTCAAGACAGGAGAGCTGCCTGACCTCGCCTGGCCCAGCCTGCCGTCGCTAGCCGCCCTGACATCTCCCCCTCCCCACTCATCACCCCGACTCTCAGCGACTCCGGGTTGAAGGCAGGGTGAAGGTGCGTTCGGATGGGGGCCAAGATCAAAGATGCCCAGAAATTACCCTGGGCTCCCCCCCCCCCACTCCCAGAGCCACCAGACCTCCCTGGCTGGAGGTGTACACAGGCAAGTGCCCAGTTTTATTAAAATAATCAAACAGTCACTAGGGGCTGGCTGGAGTTTTCATCTCCACTCGGCTCCTCTCTCTGCCCTCCCCTTGTCTGAAATGTATTATTTGGAGGGTCGAGTTGAAGAGGTCAATAGAAGCGTAAACACAGTCAGTAGGTCTTAGCCTGAGCAGACCCAGCTTGGAAAATCAAAAATTAGTGCTTGGAACAAATGTCAGGGTTCCCGTTTTTATTTCTCCTCCGTATCTCCATCACCCTGATCTTAACTCAGGCTCCATCTAGAGATTCAGGCCTGCAGGCCAAGGTCTGGGGAGAAGATTGAGGGAGGAGAACCACCCTGGAGATCGGAGGCCACCTCAGAAGACCACAGAAGTGTGATCTTCTGTGGCCCCTGGGAGCTACAATCCCAGGGCAGGCCTGACGTATCACTGCAGAATTCCAGAGTGGAGGACTGTCCAACCCTAAAATTGGGGCAACCAGCGAGCAAACCAACCCCAGCAGTCACTCGAGTTCTCACTCCACCTTCCAGGTTTGCTTTCAAACAGCCTTTCCCTGAGACAGTTTATTTATTTGTGAAAACACCCTCACCCTTTCAAAATGTCAGCTCAGAGAACTTTGGGCTCTCTCAGGGGGCGACCCTTGGTCAAAGATGGAAAACAAACATGGTTTTAGGAGGAGCCGGCATCTAAGCATCTCTGGCAGAAACGAAGGGGAAATCCAGAAAGAGCTCTCCAATCCCTTTAAATTCTTAGAGATTTGCGGATAAAAGAAATTCCCATAAATAATCTGCAGGCCCCTCCCAAGAGGGAGAATCTGTACTCTCCGGAGTAATTGCCTGGCCAGATTCGCTTAGTTTGTGAAGTGTCGATCCTGCGGGCCACTGAGCGAAATTGGGATTTGAAAACTCAAGGGAGAATCCATTTGTGCCAGGTGACACTGGAAGGCAAAATGAGTGCATTCTTATCTAGATAGCGAAAAATCGGGAGGCTGGGAGAGGAGGCATTCGGCGAGGCCAAGTTGGGGCGGTAAGCCCAGGGGAAGGTAGGCAGGCCAGTGCTAAGGCAATCCTATGTCCCTCACCCCCAGAGCAACACTCACCTTCAAAAATCCTGCCTCTTCTTTCCAGCGCAAAAGCGGGGAGTGACGCCTCTTTGGAAAGGGTGTGTTCAGGTGGAGAGTTTGGAAAGGACCCCCCCAAGAGAGACCCCTTCTAAGCCAAGCCTTCTTCCAGCGTCTGTCAAGGGTAGTAAGGTACCTCCCAGCTCGAAGTTGGTTTGTGGTCCTCGACAAATTAAATATTACTGTTTATTACCAGGCATACCCCAATAAAATAAAGAGGCGACCAGGCGATACGGACTATCTCACCAGCCGCTGCACCTATAGGACGTGGAGACGTCACGAGTCACGCAACCGGCCCGCGCGCTGTCATGCTCGATTGGGGGGCAGCGGCGGGATGTTGATTTCTCGAATCCCCGACTTCCCCTACGACTCCCGCCAGGGGTCTGCGCAGCCACAAGTCCCAGACGCCTGGGCCAGGGAAAAAATAAAGAAATAAACAAATCCAACGCTCTCTGGGGAAATGGGGGTGGCGGACACCATCCCCAAATAGAGCCAAGATCGATTTTCTTAGGGAGGGAGGAGGGGAGCTTTGGGCGAAGGGAGTTGAGAATCCCACCTCAGCCCAAGGATTAGAAAGAAATCGAGTTGGGGGGGCCGGGGGGGGGCAGGAATCGAGGTCTCCTGAAGGAGGTTAAGGGAATCTTTTTTTTCTTTTTTCTAATTTTCCCAGGAGGAGCTCTCAGCATTGGCGTATTGAGGCGCCTCTATAGCTGGTTAAGTCTGGGACGCGATAACTCAGTGCCGTTTTGCAGACGTGCATAGAAGCAATTACTGGGTTATCGCAAAGAGGAAAAGAGACCGAGACGTTAGGACGAACCCAGTGTTTCTGCCTGAGAAAAAGCCGCATTCTGCAAATCCTTCTTTAGCTGGGTCTGGGGATGCAGCTAGTCCCAGAGTGGCCCGGCGGGGGCGGGGTGCGATTGGGTGGTGGAGGACGGGGGTGGAGAAGGGTGATTTCTGCAGAGAAAAATTGCAGAGCCGGATCCTGTAGAAGGACGAGGCGCTCTATTTTGTTTGGTAATAATGATCATTATTATTATTATTGGTCTCATCAGTGGACATAGCTTCTAAGCAGCCCCATGGCGGATGCGCATAAGCCTTTGCGCGCAGCTGGAAATGCACTGGGTTCAGGGGCGAAACGTACCCCATAGACGCCCCCGGCGGTGCCGAGAGGAGAGGTAGGCCTACCCGACTCGGAGCGATCGAGCGTCCGACCTTCCGGAAAGGGTAAGTTCCCCGCCGAGGGGCTCCAAGGGAGCCCGAACTTCGGAATCTGGACTCTCCCCCCACCTTCGGGGTTCGAGCCTGGGTTTCCGCGCGCGCCCAGCCCCCAGGGCTTTCCGAAGCGTGGCCTGGCTCCAGGCCCCGTCCATCTGGGGCTGGAGCGGCAGCAAAATGTGCAGGAAGGCAGTCGACGAGCAGCCTCAGGAGCTAAGGTCAGGCCCGCAGGGAAACCGAGCAGTGGTTTCCAGCGCCGGACGCGGGCGCGCCGCAGACTCTGCTGCTTCCAGCAAACAGAACCCGCGTGCCTTCTCTCCGTCAGGCCGCAAAAACTTTCCCGAGCATCGCTTTCATTTCCCAAATCATTAATAATTATCTTTTACCCAGTGCAAGGCCCTTTGGGTGCAGCCTTTGAGCCCGCGGATGCCCAAGAGCGCAACCCGAAATCCTTCTCCCAAAACCTGGAGACGGGTTCCCATTTGACCTCTGAGCCGAGGTGAGCCGGAAACGGAGGCCTGGGCCCCGAAGGGGAAAGCGAAACTCCGAGCGGAGCGAGCTCTTTTCCGTTTAGTTCCTTTCTCTCGCATCCCCAGCGCGGGCCCCGCAGTCACCCCGGCCGACTCACAAAAGATTCCACAGGCTCACCTTCCGAACCCTCTGTCCCAGAGAGTCCGGAGGCCGCACCACGGATAGAATAAACCAGAGACCTCAACTAGTGTTGAGAAGCTCCATTCTTTCCCCAATGACTGGACAGTTAACGGGAAAGAGAGACTTGGAGATACAACCGTCCTCCCTTCTTCCGGAGGACTGAGGCTTTTCCCGAACCACCCCCAGCTCGGTTTTCTCCCGAAATGTGTTTTCCTCATTTTGCAAAATTCCTGCCCAGATTTTAATATTACCATACCTAGGAGAACAGAGCTTCCCAGTTTAAAAATCGAAAACAATAAAACCAGGGCGTCCTCTGTGAATCTTTTCCCTTCACTCTTGCCTTCTACTTTTAAGAAAGCCGCATCCCAAACCACCGTACTTCTTTCCTCCCCGAAGAGAACTCGCTTAAGAATTCACTCCGTTTCCGTTTCTCCCCCGACGTGTCCCCGCCTGACTCAGATCTCTATGGAAGGCAGAAAGTAGGTAGAAGTGCGGATAGGGCTGGGAAAATTAGTAAGAATTGTAACAACAGTGGAAATGATGGCAAAAGTTAACTTTAACCAACTCGTTTTGCAAAAAAAAAAAAAAGGTCAGACTGAGGGTGGGAAAATCTCTCCTTTCTCAGGGGGTCATTTTGCCTGCTGCCTACTTAAATCTGGCTTTATTGTGGTTTTTTTCCAGGACTTTAGTATCATCCTTCCCAATGTCTTCTTCGGTTCTCGGTTTCCTGCCTTTTGACCAGAAGAATTCACAAATACTGGCGGTTATTATTATTTCAGAATATCCAGTATTCTCCAATATTTCCACCAAGAATTAGCACTGCTACTTACTTT